TTATAATATTTAAGAAATGGACATGCGGATATAGGTCCTATCCAGAGCTAGGCTCAGCCTACATGACGACAAATATAAGCGATCGAGATAGGCCTACTTCTGACTGAAATAGAACTCTGAAATATTGCGATTTATCCGCTAGGCTAATAAAAAAAGCCTTAGCACGCCCTGCTTCATTATCGAAACGTATCAAAATTGAATGGAAAATCACGAAAGCACAAAGCTTTGAGCATATCACAGCAATTTCTTATCAAATTATTCTCATGCTGAAATCCATAGTCTGTGCTAAGACTTGTGATCTAAGCCAGTGCTTCTATAGGAGAATAGCTTCTTTAACAACAGTTGTCAAGCAAAGTTTTTTATTGCTCTTAAATCGAATAAATCCCCAAATCTCCATGACAAGAAAAGTACTGGAAAAACAAAGCTACGCGTATCGCACACCGTATAATTGTGTGATTTGGCTCGATCTAAAAACTAACAAATGATACAACACCGGGGCTCCTTATTAAACTCCTATTACCGTTTTACAATAACTATTGTTCCTTTCACTGATCACAATACCCCTTTCTACAGATCACTTTCTATCGAACCCATTCTTCCGATTCCTTTCTATTCAACGTTTGGTCAACACAGGGTTAACTTGTATGAAATCACTTTAAGCTTTTCGGAAGCTTAAAGGGATCTACGTTTCTCTTAATAGTTTGGTGGACACAGGGTTAACTAACTAAAAGCCTTTTTTTATTTAAAGAGATCGAACATACATTAGAAAAGTTTGAAATAACCAAAATCCTATTGTTTTTTTAATTTTAAGGGTGTCTACCGATCCCTTTCTATTGAACGTTTGGTCGAAACGGGGTTAAATAGGTTGAAATCACTTTTTTGGATCATTTTACTGATCAAAACGTCAGTTGACGCAGAGTTAACTAAAAAGAAATTAAACTGGTGCAAAATTTCGTCTTCTTTTTGATAACTCTTGGTATTATGACGTCACTACCCCTACTCATCAACGTAGTTAACTAAAAGGGCGATTAAGATTTGAAGTGGCTCTCGAGAATTTATGATCCTTATTTCCAGTATTTTACTATTTGTTGTTAAATTAACGATTAGGTAATGATAGTCCGATATTGGTCTAATTAACCCTTCAAACGCCAAGTACCCTTATTTCCATATAGTTATTGTAACGGCCTGAGACATGTACATCATCGCTTTTTGATTTGGTGACATCAAAATCATGAGGCTTATTTCCTTGCTTTTCTCTACTCAATATTTCAGCCTTCATTAGTCCAATAAGGATTTCTGAAAAGTAAGACGTAAACCTCCATTCGAAGAGTCGATAAAATCTAGGAAAATCAGAATTATAAGAGCTCGAAATATGATTCCATACGCATAAGGAAAAAAAGAAGTAATTGTAGGTTTATTGCCCGAAAAATAGGTCTATCGAAGATCAGAATAATTTATTTATTTTATATTTCAATTTTTTGGCTTACAAACGAGAAAAAAATAAAATTGAAAATCACAACATTGTTGCAAGTGTCAAGCGATTTATTTAATTGGCAAATTTGAATTGCTTTCAGTCCGAAATATTGTGACTGTTTGTATTCGAGAGGGTTAATTTACGAGTGGAGTAATAAAACGCTCAATAGCTTCGATAGAAACATATTGTTCACGATGGTTAAAAGGGTTAATTTATGGCATGCATCTTGAGGCCATTCTTTAAAAATGTTGTTACGGTCTGCAAGGGGGTAATTTACGATCCTGTGCAAAATTTTCAGAGCTCAAAATAGAACATTGTGTACGTTGTATACTGGCGGTGATAAGGTTAATTTATGATAGGGGAAAGCTGGGTATTTTCGGCCAGTGATGATTGTGTTCTTGTCAAACGTCAATAGGATATTTATGATGTCTTCATCAGTCTCTTGATAGATTTATGGTGATCCACTGTTCCAAGGTAATGGTTTGGAATGAAAACTTCACGCTACATGTCAAGCTTGTTACCAATTTCTGCCCCTGGCTCAGGGTCGAACACCCACTTACCTCCCTCAAAATTATGTATCATGATTCCAAATTTACAAGACATGTATTTGATTATTTCATGTTTCACGATATGACATCGGGATCAGGCAAGCAGCCATTGGGACACTAAGGTCTACCTCTACCCAAAATGACCCTAGCCAAGTCTAGACCACGTGCGGTTAAATTTCAAGGCTGTGTAAACGCGCCTATAGAAGTGTATCAGGGCCCCCTTTTCATTTCCTCTCTCTCTATCATGGCCCCATTCTCACAGACGCTTACTACTGACGGAATAAGAGTAATCATTCTGATAAGCTAATATTTTTTATGCCGATCGCCCTCTTCATCCCCTTTTCCTCTAGTTTAGATAAAATCAAATGATAATGACAACGTAAAAGCGAAGTAAAATATAATAATAAGATATAAAAGCTAGCTGACGGAAATACCATTGTTATATTTAATATCTGCTGTCACTCGCTGATAAATCCTGGTCAGAATTATTCCCATTTTCTATATTTCTTCTTTAATTCTCTCATTTATTTATTCATCCATCTTTTTCTTCCTTGAAAGCTTTTAGTCGTTCGGGTTCTAACAATAAACTAAGATACAAACAGTTTGTCACGCTGTGTATGTTAAAGATCCACTGACTGTTGGAAGTCGAAAAAGAGCAGGCTTATGCGGCTGCCCTTGCATAATTTCCCTTATTGCACCCTGCATGGCGTTGTCAGTCTTCAATGACTAAACTGGTACAGAAAAGTAGGACGAAAAACTCCACTTCCTTTCATGCCAGTAGCCCACTCAACCATCTGTATGGTATAATTATTAAATCATTAACCCTACACGCTAATGATATGCTCGTTATCCAGTTCTAGATACAAAGTGGTACATTGTTGCACATTGTTGTCAATCAAACGGTTTATTATATACAGTGGCATCAGGTGTTTCAAATCTCGAATGAAGTTTTATTCCTTTAAATTAACATCCGTAATCGATTTCACGTCTGATCAGCAAGCTGAGGCCTTGAAAATGATTAATTTTTAGAATGGATTTAAACTTTCTGAGCTATGTGGACTCTCTAAAGGGATGCAGAGACAATCTAAATAACATCTGGGGTTTTTAGACTTAGATTTTTGCACCAGTTAGATGGTGAAAAACCACTCTATTCTGTGTTTAATGGAGTAAAATTTATCAGAATAGCGGTATTGGCCGACTTTTTTTTTAATTTACATAAAATCCAACATCATGTGCCAAAAGACGGAAATATTGTCAGAACTGTGGAATGAATCTACTTTTCGGACGTACATACAGCATAATAGGCCACTTTTCTCAGAACTTTCGCAGGAATTCGATACATGCACGTGTAATCGAGTCAGTGACACGAATCCTGACAATAACGACATTGTTACACGTGTCGCTAAGTGTTAATAGAATAAATGGGTGATGTTTGTAATAATACTGAAATATAAATGACTAACTACCGTAATGGATTGAAATTAAGTAATGGGTGTCACATTTACACGTGTGTGCACGCTCTGATGTATTTGAGAACATTTGTATCAAAAATAAAGTTGATTGGTATGACATTTCTTTTTGTTTCTTTACTGTAAGAACTTCTTGGATATTCTAAAACTTTAGTAGAAAAACAAAATAACTTTGTTGATCATTTTTGAAATATTGTCCAGAAATCTGATTCGTCAATCAAAAAATACTGGCCAATCAGAAATCTCGTTTCCAAAAAGAGCTTCACTATTTTTGAATCGAAACGAAAGGATTGTTCGAGTCCTTTAAGTTTACAAAAGAAACTATTTGATTTTTAGAATTCAAGCGCTGACATCTGGAGGTCCTGATAACGCACGTGCATTTCATGACAGACAATAGTAATGACGCATTTTTCAAAATATAGTGTTGTGTAAAAGAAAGGAATGGAAATTCAGAGAAGACGAACTTGATTTGACTGATTTGTCTTTGACACCCAGACTTCTCCTGTTTTCCTCACATACAAAGTGGGACTGGATGATAAAAACTAGATTTGGTGACAGTCGGCTAATGGAATAGAAAAAATCATTAAATTTCCAGACGAACTTTAAGGTCGTATTCCGTTTCTTCTTGAATTAGTTTAGAATTCATCCAATCAGAGCACTCACTTCTGCTGCTGTGATTGACAGCTGCACGTGACATATCGTCTCTCAAGAGAACGTTATCACGAGTAATTTCGAACTGTCTAATTATTTCTAAACGAAAGAAAAAAATGAATAAAACTATTTTTATATCATTTATCAGCTTTCTAAAAAAATTCAACTTCCCTGTGTACATTTAGTCGAGGGCAAATTATCTCACATATATCTCCTAATTTCTTATAAGCAGTGTCGCTTTAACGGTGGTCACGAAAAGAGACTGGCCGCCCGTACCCCACTCCCAATCTTAGAGAGGGGCAAATTTGGTCAGAAATTTGAATGTTGATTTTTTGCTGTCAGTTTGTTGATTGTCTTTGATAGGTATGCATAGGTATAGAAATCAAGGGCATGGATTGATGTAAAGGTAGATAAATGCATTTATTAAAGCTATGTTTCAGACTACAGTTAAATGCTAATAAGTTTTACATAACAAGGGAGGTGAACAAAGCATTATGATTAATTCAGATCATAATTAATTCAAATAATGTGAAAACTTGGATTGTATTTGTATGTATACCTTCGAAATTGTATTTTATTCACCTTTTTTTTTATCCAAAAATTGTTTTTTTAGTCCGAAACTTGCTGTCTCTGGTGGTCATTTGATTTGTCTGAAACTTGCTTAATTGCTATTTGACGGTTCTGACTGCATTTTTTGACTGAAAATTTTGGGGTACATGGAGATACAAGAACTTGTATGTCCTAGACGATAAATTGTTAGACTTTGTGTTTTAACATATTTCACAAAGTGCACGTGTATTTCAAAAGGTCAATAATTAGACCAACGGTGCCCCATGATTTGTAAAAAAAACACTGAATATATCTTAACATATTTAATATGTCATATTATTATCATAATCTAATTAACAATATATAGAATTAATTAATAATTAAAACAGTTTCTAGCTAATGAGAACAATAGATAAGATGCACGTGCATTCAGAGTCAATTTGAATACAATCATATCAATTATCATACGAAACCATTTAGAATGTTTTGAGGTATAGATGGAACGTATTTAAATCGAAAAACAGTAGATTTTTCTAAATTGATTCTGAATGCACGTGTATTTGTCAGATTAGCACAGATACCTTGCATCCGAATTACCAGTGTAACAGGCCATCTAAAACGATGGCATAAATCAGAAAGAATCATTTGTAACAACAAAAATAAAAAGGAAAACATGCCCTGCTCCACTGCCTGTCGCTCAAATGAAATGGCTTTGTTTGCGTCTGCAATTCGCCCAAACGTTCAGGAGAACGCATTTAAAGATGCAATATCCACACAAGTCTCCATGGCACAGTTTGAGGAAGGGAATCACAAGCGTCATTTAATTATAATTTACGTGACTTGCGCCAGTTTCCACCTTATTGAGTCATGAACTGAAAACAAGGTGCATTTGTAAAGCCATGCGGTGTGAAATGAGGTATATTTTGATTGGATATTAGAAGTAATCTTCAACGTGCAACTTGAGACAGTTTGATTGAAAATTATTTTTATCACAAAATAAAAGAAACAATCTAATTGGATTACAACGAGATTAGAGGTGACCCAACAGCCAATGGGTGAAGTTGTTACAATATCTTGAGATTGACCCTGTATTTACAATATCGCCCAATCAAATACGTCTATTCATTTAAAAGCGTTGTCCTGACGATAACCTCTGTGACGGCGTAGGGGTCACAGTTAGAAGATGGTCGTCTGTCTTCTAAATATCCGTAGCCATCTTCTGCCACCTGTCGGGGAATTCTGATACTCGCTCCTCGATTGGCCACACCGGCTGAGAAATCGTGGATGGAGGACGTTTCGTGAAGTCCTGTCAATCGACGTTCGTTGTCCTTTCCTTCTCGAGGGTCGTAAGCTTTGATGTGACGCACGTGGTGGAAGCTTAGCTTCTCAATGGCTTCTTCAATAACTCTGGAAAAAATAAGAATTTTGAATTGGCTCATAGCATACAACTATATAGCCTATATGTTAGAGCTCATTTAACGTCGACTCGTGTTTCAGATACACAATCCTCATCAGGATAGCTAGTTTTAGAAATGGAAGTAAACTCTCCAATGTGGGATTTAAGGTAGACAAGCAAAGTGAGCCAATCTCTTCAATGGTATTTCATATAATGATACATTATGTTAAGTCAACCCCTGCTAAACAAAATTTCTCTTATTGCACAATGCATAGCGAAGCCAAGCTCCATTCCCCTTTTATTCTGGAAAACCCAAGTGTTAGGTCGGTGAATTATGTACTTCTACTTCAACCAATGACTGTCTCTAAGCACGTAAGGTCGGCAAATTGCATACACCACTTTACATAATTCTATGGCAATCACAATGCGACCATAATGAAACTTATTTTGATATCACTATTAGCTCTAATTGATAAACTTATGTAAATAAATGAAGGCAAAGGTCAAAATTTGAACTCTGATGCGGTCAATAGTTTATTTATAAATGTCAAATTGGAATAACAATTGAGAATAAATTATTTAAAAGAGTTTGAGTGAATATACCACAATTAAGTTTAATTTAGATGGTAAATTATATATTATAAATGTGAATTGAGTGGGAACGGTGCATATAATTTCATTTTATTGATCGGCTGGTTTTCTCTGAACAAATTTCTCTTGCCCTTTCATTCATTTGATAACCGCTGAAATCTTTCTTCGAGGCGGATAATCCAAAATAGCTAAAGGTTTTAAGGTTTGGTCAGAATGTTTCAGACTATATCACAAGCTGTAATAAAACGTGCGTTGCTATAACAACTAAATCGAAACAGTCAAATTAGGCCGCTATCAAGAATGCACGTGTATTTTAGTGATATGAAGTAAGGTTATTAAATGGAAAGGCCGGGTATTTCTTAGCTAAGCACCAAGGTAAGCATACCTTAGTATATAAACGACCCCCATGTTCTTCTCCCCATGCCACGAAATATTTTTAAGGGGGACACTATACTATATGAAATGCACGTGCATTCTGGTATTTACTTACTTGAGTCCATCCTTGTTTCTCATCTCTAAAGTACTGTAATTTGTGTGAGCTCCGGCACCATTCCAGTCTCCTTCCATTGGTTTAGGGTCAAGGGTCACGACTACCCCGAAATCTTCAGCTACCCGATGTAAAATATATCTTGCTACCCACAAATGGTCACCCATGGCGATACCCTCGGTGGGTCCAACTTGAAACTCCCACTGAAATTACAGAAAAATGAGTTTTAACTGGCTCGTTTTTAGAAACTAACGATCTAAAATTAACCTTATCATACTCATATTCTGTTTTCAGTTCGTTTTATTAAGATAGAAAGACTGAAATGGCTATATTCTGTATATATAATATTATTAAAGAGAGAGGGGGGGGCGAAATGCACGTGTATTACCTGAGCGGGCATGACTTCAGCATTACAACCACAAATATCGACACCAGCATACAGACAGGCTTTATAATGAGCTTCAACAATATCTCTACCATACACCCTATTAGCACCGACACCACAATAGTAAGGACCTGAAATATAATATAGGTCAAGTACGTGCATTTTCAATCACTTGTTAAATAGGTTGTATGAGCAATTATTAGAGCTAAAAATCGTCTTAGATCGAAATGAAAGATGTTATTACTATGTAATCTAGACAGGGTAAGCTAAACCTACTGGAACATCTAATGGTATACTAAATGCTCCCCCTTATGCGCTCCGATGATGGGTTGTCTACAATATAATAAACAACTGCTTCATGCAATTTGTTAAAAATCCGATGATAGGTCTTCTACAATTTGATAAAAAAAAACTAGTAAATGCTGCAAGCAACATATATTCCGACCCTGTATGAATATGGAAAAATAACTGACCTTGGGGTCCCGGGAAACCATTTTTGGGCCATCCAAAAGGATGACCGTCGAAGTCTAAGATTGTGTACTCCTGTTCAATACCAAACCAGGGTTGTGAGGCCTTGGCACGTTCCATCACCTGGGCACACGTATGACGTTGATTGGTGTCTGAAATTTAAAAATAAACATGTTTCTGGGGTTCCGAATGTCACAGCCATCCTAGAATAAGTAAACACACTATTAAGCCAACCTGAATGGTCTTGGGTGTCATAGAAGATGCTCTCCTACAGAAGCACTGGCCAGTTTTAGGGTTATAGTAATGTTGCTTTAGGTCTAGCCATCCTAAATAAGCCAACATAATGTAGAACAATACAAGTTATCGAACTCGAGCACACCAGAACAACCCCGGTAAAATAAACGAACAAAATCTCAACATACACACACGCGCACACACTAACTGTCCCGGTAAAATAATCGAACATACCTGCTGGTTTGTTATTATATTTATAAACATCACACAGAACCAATATATTGTTGCCTCTTCTGAACGGATCTTTGAAAATGGCACAAGGGTGGAGGTACATGTCGGAGTTCGAGCCTTCTGCCTGGTATGTACTCGAACCATCGAAGTTCCAGATGGGGCAATCTGAAAGCAAAAGATTTGGAATACTGGAGAAATTTTGAATTAAGGAACAATACTTGAACTTCCCTGCATGGGGTATAGTACCATATAGGTAGAAAATGCATGTGCGGAAAGGTTCATTTAAGCCTTTAGGGGGGTGTCAAGTAGCCACATGACGAATCAAAATTTGTGTCTTCAGCAGAGGATTATGACCATTTGACTCATCATGCCTCTATCGCAAAGATTTCCGGAACCAAAGCATGCTGCTCTTTCTTCGTAATACCTGCAGATAAATCCCCACGTACCTGAAGGATGTTTTGGCGTTGAGTTCAAAGTTCGGCATTTACTTCTAATTCCCTCGCCAGTGCCGTCGATCCAGAGATATTCTGCCATGACCTTTCCATTCTGTTCGAGGTCGAGATATTTCTCGAGCACCTGTTTATTGGTTGTGGGTATTATAGCCATCTCGACAGCTCAGTTGATACCTGGAATTATATACAACCAATTGATGGGATGGAGTTTTACGTTCTACATTTTTTATATATTGCCCTGTATGCTAGAAATTTGACCCTATTTCCAAAACCGACTGCATAGTTCTAACGATGAGTACAAGAACGATGTGAGAAATTCAAGTCTTATCAACATGTATATACAGTGAAGGCCTTGAGATACATTTGAAGCACGCATACACGCGTGAACACAGTCAACTACCTTGCCTATTGTTTGATTGTCGTCTGCCAGGTTAGTAAGTGTAAGTGGGTTCGAATTCCCTCAAACTCCTTTAGCCAACAAAAGAACCCTTGTTACGACCAGTACTTTCGCTAGTTCCTTCATGTCGTTCGGACATATTTTCTTTAAATTCTGGAGCAAAGGGCACGTCTAGTCAATAGCCAGTTGTATTGTTATAGTGGATCGTGGCGCAATTGTTGGACAGACGCTACCCTGTGATGAACACTTGCTCAATTCAAAGCAAGATTTCCACGACCACTGCTTTTGATAGTTCTCTCAAATCCAAGGGACACTCTTTAGCAGGAATCATTACCTAATTCCCGAATAGACCCCCCTCCCCTCCCTCCCCTCCCTCATCTCTTTCTTTCAAGGCAAGAAAAGTTCCCGAGTCAGCATATTATTCTAAATATCAACCTGTGGTTATTAGGGTAATTCTATATTTGACAGGTCATTGTTAGTTTTGTTTGATATGAGTTAGATAAGTGTCTAAGAGTTCGAAACCCCTAGCTATTCAAGTTCATAGTATGTAAATAAGAAGACTGAATTTGAAGTCAAAACGAGATGAAATGTTTACCAAGATGACGACAAATCTAAACTTGAAAGTATACTCTATGTCTATATTATATAGAAGATCAGGTTGATTGAAAGTAACAAGTTACTATTCAATATAAGGCGCTGACACAGGGTGTACTATGGCAGTAAGCCACCATAGAGCTTGTAAAGTGTCCAAATAAAATCAAATACAGTTTGTCTCGTGCGTTTGACAACTACTTGAGATAATGAAAGACAGCCATGCAGTGTGCGATGAGGGAAAATTCGTCCGGAGAATTATAAAGAGGCACAGGGGGCGTCTGTTTACTATCCCAGATTGTGGATTTGAAACTATTATAAAGTAGTGGGGGTACATGGGCACTTCTGCGTCATTATCTGGGACGAATGACGTCATATTTCCCATATTCAAACAAGACGATGTTACTGACGGACACAGGGTTAACAAATTTGGATCTTGACCTTTGATATTTGAACAAATATGACGGGAAGTTGAGGGTGACGATTGAAACAACCTTTAACTTCAATAGTGACGAAATTAAAACTGCGAAAAATATCCAGTGTCGCTTCCTAACATATTACTATATGCAAAGATTCGATTCGATTGTCAAACATCAAAAATATTTTTTGTTTGAGTGATC